CAGAGACTGCTTGGGATTCTCTTTCCCCCTCTAAAAATGAATAAATTAATGGAGAACGAAGAGGAGGAGGAGGAGAAGGATGATGATGATGATTATTATTATTATTATTATCCAATGAATATAAGTAAACATTATTCAGGTCAAAAAATAGATCAGCATCAACATCACGAAGTCCCCCCAACACCGACACCTGCTGCATGCCCCTACCCAATCATTACCCCTCACCCCTCTACTAGAGGGGAACACGATCCTGATTTGTACCATAACCGTTTCCTTGGTTTCCATTTTACCATTCAAATACGCATCCCTAAATAACAGCTTGCTTTTTTCTTGCATGTGAACTTTATGTAAGTAGAATCGTACGGAGGTATTTTGTGGCTATGTAGTGTTCCTTTTACTTCACAGTATGTTTGAGCAGCTCATCCACTGACTTATGTATTCATTCCACCATTAGTAGACAGTTGAGTTGCTTTCACGTGGCTCTTCTGACCAGCACTGCTATGAATGCACACACACGTCTCCCGGTGTGTGCATTGGCGCCATAGCTTCTTGAGAGTGCCTTCCCAGGGTACAAGTGCCAGATCTTCAACTTTACAGAAAAATGACAAACCACCTTCCTAAATGAATATACCAACATGCACACACACCAACTGTGTGTGCAGTAGAAATTCACTCTTGGGATTTAATTACTGGTCCTCAAAGATTCACTGTTGAGACGTAAATCCTACTGGGTGAGTAACAACACATTAAGCTAGAGGTACTCTTAGCAAAAGGTCCGTCTCAAAATGGCATTTGAGAATTGGACCAGAGGTGTATGCACCACACAGCTGATTCTAGAATAAAAAGAATGCATAAAGAACAGTTCAAAGTTCAGAGAAATGAAGTCTGTCATCTGTCGCAGGGACAACAAGGGCCATCCTTCAGGGCATGTGGCAGACACAGATATGCAGGAGAAAAACAAATGAGCAACTATAGGTGGCAAACTGGAGGAAAAGGGGGGAAATTTTATTTTAGGACTTAACCTGAAACCTAAAATCACCAACTTTTAAATGCTCAGAGGCTAAGACCACCACCATTGGTTATTCAACAAGTAGACTCAATAATCAGCTCTATCACACCCAAAACCTTTTAATTTCTCAGAAAAAGGATCTTCAAATTCTATTGGCAACCACTGCCATTATGCCTAACATTCAAGGAAAACAAGAAATTAGACTTTGACTTTACTGAAGATAGTTAATTAAGCTTCTGTGGACAAAAAATTCTGATACATACTAATTCTAGGCACACGGTTACTCATTGAGCAGAACTAAAACCAGCAGCCAATTTGGGATAAGATGTTGACAGCATCAAATTAGGCACTGTTCCATCTAACTATTCTTGCACTGGATACTAAGAGAAATAGTATTCCTAATGTTCAACAGAACCATGATAGTCTAGGATTCAAATCCACATCTGTTCAACTTAGGGCTCTGTGCTCCTTATATTAAACAACACTGACAAAGGAAAGACTGTAACATCATCGACTGAACTTAAATGTCCAATATTAAGATAATCAAATTTTCAAAGTTGATAAGTTATTTCTAATTTGAGTTACTTTGGTAGTTAGTAAAGAAATTATATACTAAATATATATATATATATGTATATATATATGTATTTAGTATATATATGTATTTAGTATATATATG